GCCTGCTGTATTCATCCAGCTCTACACCTTGCTATCGCTGGTCTATAGTTCCCTCGCTTTTCCGTATCACCTTTCTTAAATAGTAGCAGCACAGTAGCCAACCACCTGTCGATTATATAAATATCTCAGCAAGGGGCCCAGCAATCTCTTCCCTCGCTTCCCACAGGGTTCTAGGATACACCTGATCAGGTCCCAGGGATTTACCCACCTTTATGCGTTTTGCTTAAAGTATAAAATATTCCATATCTTGATGGGTCAGATGTGAAGAGGATGTTCGCTAATAATGGGAGAATCTACAACAAGAGGTCACTGTTAAAAGTTAGGGGATCGTCCGTTTAAGAAAGTTGAGAGATTTTGTCCTGTCACAGAGGGTCATGAGTCTTTGGAACTCACTTGCTGAAAAGTGGTGGAAGCAAAACATTTGAATATGTTCAAGGGAAAGATAAATCCTGGATAAGCAAGGGGGAGGGGACAGTGGTGAAATGTTATTAGGAGATAGGCAGGAATGTACAATGTTATAATGCGATATTATTGAAGGGTGAAGCAGAGGCGCTGAGTGTTCTACTACTGCAGTTAGTTGATATGTACATTCTAGGAAATTCCGGAGCAGTTAGCGTAAAAACATGTTTTGACCCGATTTCAGGTCGGGAAATCCCCAGGTTCTGTTTCGATCCGATGCAGTACAGTTCTTCAATTACTGGAACATGCTCCGAGCAGCAGGAATTTCCCAACAGCTGGGGAGAAGCTGCGCTGGCAGCGAGTCAGCAGCAGGGGGCAGTAAGGAGCGGGGCAGTGCTAGGAATACACCACACAAAGACGGGGAGGAGAGTGAAAATTGGGATGATTTTATTAAATAACGCCATATAATTTGCATGCTAACCTTGACATTTTGACAGACTATATATACGTAAAGTAGTGCAAAGATAAATCACTTCTTTACATTTTCAATCATTTTAAATTTTCAGTTTTATAATTTATTATCCACTCTCTGAAACTGAAGCATTATGGTATAGTCCAGAATGAAACATGACGCGTTGGATGTAACCAAATTAAATTGCGGAGGAGGGGGGATTATGCGGTTAGAAGTAATTTTTTACCTGTTAGCTCAACGGCTTTTTGGAAAATAAGCTTGTAATCATTAATAATTTCTCTGTAATGTATCCTATGTTGTGATGTGTTGGGGTGAGATCTTGTTGTTTTGTGGATGATGCGAAGGATGTATTTGACATCCCTTTGCTGTATGCGCTGTTGTTTACACCTTCGGGTTGTCGGGGGGTTCTCTAGTGGAACGCGGAGTATCGCAGTGAGGAGTTGATACATTGTATCAGAGGGAGATAATAGTGTAACGGAGAGGAGGACACGTTGTATCAGAGGGAGATACTGTGTAACCCTGGGCTATCGCAGAGCCGCTACCACCAGCAAAGTGAGTAGGGGAAAGCCTTCCTGAGGCAGTAAAGTGGGGAGAGGAGGGGAGGTAGGGAGAGAGAACGATGACCACAGGGTGATGGAGATTTCGGTCGGTCTGATTAAAACATTTTAACAAGGGAACTTCATTGACGGGCCTTGACTGACTCGTTTCGGTACTCGGTCGAGCCCCGCTTCAAGATTGATTGGCCTCTTGTTGCGGAGGGTAATATCTACCTGTGGGACTGTGTACATAATAATGGAGTAAATATGATGGCCTCTCGGGGACGTTGTCTCCTCGACTTAAGAGCTCGCTCACTTTCTCTCCCCCCTTCCCCCCCCCCCAAGTTTGGACTGAACCCCCAGTTATGTGGCAAACCACATTAAGTATGTTTACACGCGCAAATGCGTCTCTGTATAGATGTAAGTGTGTGTCTGTGTTGTAGAACTATTTAACCAGGAGGAGAGTTCTTTCTATCGATAACTTGGGCTGACATTTATCATTGCAAATTACTAGATAATATGATTTTATTACTATGGGATCTTGCCACAGCAGATTGAATTCTGTGTCCCATGCATTACCACAGTGGCTTTGTTTCAAAGGTGGCTGCGAATGATTATCGATGTGGAATCCTAGAATGCTGACAATGTGGAAGCAGGCCGTCAAGTCCACACTGCCCCTCCAAAGTGCATCCCACCCATACCCACCCATCATTCTATCCCTGCATTTCCGATGGCTAATCCGGATAGCATACATACCCCTGGACGCTATGGGCAATTTAGCATGGCCAATCCCCCTAACCTGAATATCTTTGGATTGTGGGAGGAAACCCACACAGATACAGGGAGAATATAAAACTCCACGCACAGTCACCCAAGGGTGGAATTGAACTTGGGCCCCTGGAGGTGTGAGGCAGCAGTGCTAACCACTGAGCTGCCCCTGAATTTGTGAAAGGCATGCTTTAATTTCAAGCCTATGTTTTATTTCTTGTTGATTTTTTTTTTTGATAGTGTTGCTAATGTGCTCCAATTCTGAATCTGTTGCATGCTTTTTAGTTGCGTCCTCCTTCCCCCACCCTTCCTGTCTTCTTTCCCCACCTATCTTGCTCACCAAAACAAAGCTAATCTATGACAATTCAGTGACTGAGCTGACCCACACAGCCCTGCTCTTCCAAGAAACCATGCTGTAGCTGCTGGCTATCTGGAAAAAGCCTAACAGTTGGAAACACTGAAAGTTTACTTCAAAAGGAGGAAGTCCCAAGGTTTTGGGGAAAGAGGAGAAGAGTGGGACGAGTTAATCAACTTAGTCAAAGGGCAGACGTGGGCATGAGGATTGCGTGGCCTCCTTTGTTGTCATGTGTTTTATGTTTGTATAAATTAAGCCGCAGCTGTAGGTTTCTCTCTTTAGTTTACTTTCCTTCCTCGTGAGCTTGGCTTTAGAAAGAGCCCAACTGTCATATTCCACTGAGTTTATTTCTTCCCGGTGCAGAATGTAATTCACTCACTCATCCCATTCTCATTGGTTACAGAAAGCTATCCATTAAAATTGGTCAACCTGAAGGAATTTCGCTAAAATAAAATTTTGTTTGTGATCTTTTTTGAAAGCTAAACAGTGTGTCAACAGTTTCTGGTGTACTTTGGTTGTGCAGATGATTTATGATTTGTTGATGTCTGGTTTGAGTTAAAGAACTCCCATTTATACAGGGTGTCATATCAAAACATGTGAAACCTGCTGATGGAAACTGAAGGGTACTTCTCTGCCCCTGATGTGTAACAGAACATCTAACTTGGTTCTTGGACGACAGTGAGTGTTGTGTTTAGTCAGAGATGCCCAGCATGCCACCACACATGGTGAATTGGAAATCCAAGTGTGACAAGATTATATTTCTAGGTAGCAAACCAATAATGTTGTTAGGCATTTGACTACGATGTTCACATCATCACACACGAGAGTTTCAATCTTTTTTGTGTTTCTTGGCATAATGGTGAGATAAATGGTGGATTGCTTGTGATTTTTCCTTTGATTGTGTTTCTATTTTAGTTTCTTGGTGTTGTTGAATGGTGGTTGGATGTTTGAATTAAGTGTGTATGTGAAGCATGTTTCCCTGCATTATGTGAGTGTATATAGAATAACTTTTGACTTTGGGTTAGGCAAATATCTGCCTGTTGGTTGTAATTGCTGTTGGATCTCAAGCTTTTACTACTATTGCAGCTGGCAATGTGCGGGTGGAGTTGTGTGTACTTAATTACAAGAAAGGTCATCAGCACCACAGGATTTGCAGCATGAATTGCTGGGGATGATGAGAAGGGAAATGGTAATTATGGGGGAATACTGGTGCTGTTCTTACTGGAGCAAAGAAGATTGCTGGTGATTATCTTGGTACAGTGAGCAGGGAAGGATTATTTCCTCTGGCCAGTGAGATAATCTGTTTAAAATCCTTGTCCAAAAGGTTGTCAGAAAATTCTTCAGACAGGATTCAGTGTGGAGAGATTTGCCACAGTGATTAACACAATGGCATTGCTGCTTCTGAGGGAAAGAGCTTAAATATGTAAAGTGGAGGAACGTGTAAGGCCTTGGGATGGAATAAATTAATAGGATTTGTTTCGAATGTACTGTAATGGGTTGACTGCCTTTCTACTTGAATTTTAAGGGTTCGCTCCATTTCCTACCATTCCTTCTCTCCCTATACATTTTTATGAAAGGAAGATCACATCATCCATATGTACCACTGGCTGGTGCAAAATTGGGCTGCTCTGTGTTTGCTCAAAAACCATAAAGTATTGTCAGTTTTTTATAAGTCATTCATGGGGTGTGGGTGTCTCTGGCTGGGCCAGCATTTCTTGCTCATCCCTCACTGCCCAGAGGACAATTAAGAGTCAACCACATTGCTGGGAGTCTGGAGTCTGGAGTCTCATATATGGCAGACAAGGTAAGGACGACAGTTTCCCTCCCTAAAGGGACATTAGTGAACCAGATGGGTTTCCCCAAACAATCAGCAACAGTTTCAGCATCAACGTTAGACTCTTAATTCCAGATTTTTTACTGAATTCAAATTCCACCATCTGCTTTGGGGAGATTTGAACCCGTATCCTGAGAACATCATTTGGATTAACATTCGAGCCATAATACCACGAGGCTATCGCCTCCTCTGAAGAAGATTCGTACTAGGCTCGAAGACTTAACTGTTTCTCTTTCCCACTAGTGCAGTCAAACCTGCCAGGTTTCTCCACTTTCTGTTGTCATTTCAGATACCCAGCATTCAGTCATTTGCTTCTGTTGTGATAGATTAGAAATTCTCAGCACTTTAGGCAAGATGTGTGGAGAGAGACATCAGGGCAGTGGCCTTTCTGCATAACTGAAAGGTATCGGATTAACAGTTTTGAATGAGTACAAAGCTGGCAGGGTGATGGGGGTTGTTGGGGGGGAAAATAGTTGTGTGATGGCAGAGATGATGCAGCCAAGGAATAGAACCGTAGCTCTATGATTGGCTTAGAAGGTAACTTCAAAAGGGAAAACTGGGTGATAATGGGACAGGGCAAGGAACGAAAATTGGCATCAAGAAGGTGGCAAATAATTACCCAGAGCAACAGAGTGACAATAAACATTGGAACAGTTACCATAAAGCAAAGGATCCTTGGGCCCAACAACGTAGTAGAAGAAATGCAGGTTGACCACAATGTACAGCAAGATCACTTATATGTACCTTCATCCTCTAACAATATTTTCAAAGTAGTAGGTTCTAGATCTTTAATTTCTTGCATTTTTTATATATACGTGTATGAATCTACATCTCCACATGCAACCCCCAACATAAATCTCCAGTTTTTATTTTTGCCAATTGTCTTTAAATCTGTTTTCGCTAGCTATGAACCACTTGTCAATGGCTACGGTTTCTCTTCATTCCTATTAAAATGCATCTTTATTTTGAGCAAGTCATTGAAATTGTGCTCTTAACTTTCTCTCCCTATTCTGAAACTCCATAACTTGGATGTCCCAAGATTTTTTTGGGGGTGGATGGGGGGGGTGCTCTTGTTCTCTGCCCTTCTGTGGCAAATACTAAAAGCTGCAATGTGTATTTGATGAACAAAACTGGCAAGGGCGTCTGTGGCACACTGAGCCTTAAAGCACCATTTAATTCATGCAGCTATTCAGTCCACTAATAAACCCAAAGCAACTTTATAATAGAGTTGGCAGCAGCCAGAAACTTGGTGTTTGCAGCTCAAGCATATAAAGCACTCGGTGTGTAGCTTTTTGAAGTTAATGAACAAGGTTAGGTTTTAACACAAGCAGCGAGTGCCTGGACAGTCTTTACTGTGAAATGGAATAGTAATCAGGTTCACATTGTTGGGGACAGCTAAGGTGCTGTGTGCACTTCTTTAAGTAACAGAAATAAAGGAAATATTACAGATGGAGGAGGTGATTCAGTGTGGGTGGGGGAGATGGAATTCATCAAACTGCTACTAATTTTGACATCAGTATGGTACATGGGTCGTGTGTGTGTCTGTCTGTGTGTGTGGGGGATGGGGGTGAGGTCACGCAGCACTCGAGACAGTGACTGGTGTGAAACTGTATAAACCTGAAAGGGGCCCCAAGGTCAGTTTTCAATCTTGGCTACTTACTGACAGAGATGAGGTACTTTGTCTTGGCAATCTTGACTTATAGCAAGGGATTTCATTTACAAGTCAGGACTGGCAAATCTAAAAGTTTATATCTGGCGAGAAATGTTTGGAATGCAGTTTTCACGTCTAGGTTTTTCACAGGCAGCATGAGGCGAGGTGTTACAAGATCGATTGTAGAACTAACAGCTAGGAGTTGCAGGGTACAGTCAGTTGCCCTGAGACTGTTTGTTCTTTCAAGAGGAAAAAGCTGCGTGCTTATTTGAACAAAGCTTCTAGATGCTAATGGGCCAGTTGTGTGTTTCCAGCACTTTGTTTCAAAATGTTTGAAGTTTGTTTTTGAAGAAAGGGTTTATTGTTGGACCAAGTGGATGACCTCGGGCGTGGAGAGTTTCTGATGAC